ACATTTATTTAAATAAGCAATAGTAATAGCAAAGTTTTCATAAGTAAATTATCCGAATACATCTTATAACATGAAAGGAAATTGTGTTACAATGAATCCTATTGGCCTCTCGATAAGTCGGATTCCTCGATAAGTCGGACAGCCATGCCCAGCCCGTCGTGTCCGACTTATCGAGTTTCACTGTGTATCATCTGAATAATCGGGATATTCGATTTTAATTTTAAGAGTAAGTTTTTCATGACTTCTTCGCTAATCCCTTTACATCCCCTCCAAACTAAGATATTTTAGGCGCTAATCGAGCAATCATAAAGCTCAAGATGTCTAAGTTTTGGGCATGAGCGAGCAATTTCAGTGATACATCGATTAGTAAGACATATACATGAATTAAGACTCAGATGCTGTAGTTTCAGAGAAAATCTCGATAATTGGTATATTAGTGAAACCAACACTTCGGTCAAGAATAAGAGTGCGTATATCTGGACATGAGCGTAGAATCGTACTAATCAATGCATCTGAGATTTTTAAACCTTTCAATCTGAGATATACTATCTTGGCGCAATAGGTTGGCTTTATCTTTCCACGCATGACTTTTTTAAAGTTTATCAATTGCCGAGTAAAAGCTCGAGGCATCTTTTGACCGTACGGACCTCTCTGATAATCTTTTTCTGTAAAAAACTCAATGCGACGCCATAGAATAGGAACACCGCAGTGATACCAACAAATAAAGCGGATAGAGGGATCGATTGATTTCTAAAAAATATAAGATCTATCTGTTCTAGCAATTCTGGTAAATCAAAAATATTTAGTTGTGCCATTCTCAAGTTGTATATTATATATCGTTAATCGGAAAACCAATGCTTGGATAATTAATTTAGGTGCATATATCATTTATTTTCCTGTTATTCTCAACCACGCTTAACTTTGCAACCAGCTCATCTAATGACAAATCCGTCCCACATCTTCTGACTTCCAACTGATTATCACAAGACAATCCACGGAGGCAGTGTTCCTTAAGGTAAATTTCGTTATTATTTACTCCCAATACTGTTATGTAATATTTCACCATCTTATAATATTCTTTTACTGGTAGGGATATTGTTTTGGTGGTGAAAACCCTCGTCGAATATCCAATAATACATCGGTTCCATCAAGCAAAGTGAGAGTATGATTGGGAAAATTTATTTCAGACATATTTGCCTGAATCCATGGTGAACCTAATAACAGGACATGTGCAAATTCGGGTTTATTAGGAACTAAAATATCGTTAACTCCTACCTGTTTCCATTTATTATCTTTAGACCGGAAAGAGGGTTTATTTTATGAACCATTCCCAATATTAGTATGCTATCTTCTATAGTTTCACAACGTGAGGATGATATTGCATCTAAATTATTCGGGCGATTTTTCAGATGGAAAAGAGATTAATAGTTTTGCTTCTTCTTTATGGGAAGTATCAATATCTAAGCCTGGTACATCTGCTAAACCCCTGCCTATAATACTAAAGCGGGTGAGTATTATCACAACGTAAAAACATTCTGAAGTTGTTTTGTTTATTGCGCTACTTTAAATAAAGTAGGTAAGTATAATAGATAATGATTTTAACACTGTTTATGGTGATGACACAAATAAGTATACATTTGCAGGATAGCAAATCATTTCGGAAACTCAAACGCTGTTACATCTACTGTTTATTGAACAGATAACGGTATTTAGAAAAAACAACTTAGAGATACAATTTGTATATAATTACAACGATAGTGAAATCGCTCGGGTCATTCTCAAGAAAAGATTAAACAAAAAATTAATCGTTCTTACCAAGAATGAATAACTTTTAAACTTAAACCGACTAAAACGGTTATATAGTACAAAGAAATAATTACAAACATGTATACAGTAACTTGATAAATAGTTTGAAACAAAAAAAAAAAAAAAAAAAACAAACTTTTACCCAATTTTATTTCAACTCGAACAAGAATTTGAACTTTGAGAAAACGTTTACTTTCTCCAATTGAGAAGGACGGCAATTAGTTTTATGTAAGGTAAAGTAAAGAGGAGCCGGGGTGTAGAGTCTGAGGTGATGGTGATGACTGTATGCACAGTACGTAGGCGGAATTACGTGGAAGAGTTTTATCGTCGTTGACATCTATATATGTGTCAACACCTGTGTGTTGTTGTTGCATTAAGCGAAAGAATTTTATACGGACGAATACCTTACTTGCCTCGCATGTGTCATCCTTAGTGATTTTAGCGATAGCCCGAAACGTCGTTTTTAGATGGTTTGTCTGTTGATGTTTGCGTGGAATCAAGAAGCGGAATAAATAATTTGATTAACAAGTTTGTGTGTGGAGAAAGTTAACGCCGAGCGTTGCATTAAACAATAGTACATTCATGTGCTATTAATTCTCAAAATAAACTATCCAATTTGTAAGCGCGAGATTACATATTCTTATCAAATACATTTGCGCATGAATGAATAAGCATTCGACAGTGTAATACTGACAGCTTTATTATAACTTGTCGTCGTTACTAGACTTCACAAAAAATCAAGCTTGTTTTGTTGCACCGATTAGTGTAGCTATACGCAATCTTCATCTTTATTCTGTAAAGTTATTTCCATACGTGGCTCTTTATTGTGATAGAACATTTGTTAGAAAGTCGAAAAGAAAAGCTTCTTTATAGTACCAATTAGTGTAGCTGTACGCAAATTGTACCTTTATCTAAGCATTACTTATATACGCAATCTACATCTTCATCCTGGACATGCTTGCTCTATATTGCAATAAAATATTTGTTAGAATTGACGGCCTTCTCGCTGATGATAAAGCAACGCTTAAGTATAGCCTGATTTTTGAAGACATTTGGATAATATTTATTATTTATAATAACAATGGTTTTTAATTCTCGTGTTCTTATATAAGGGGGTTTTTTGACCATTGCATCAATATTAACAGCCTCGTTGGATCTTTCTGGGTGGGTTTTAATTTTTTCCTCCCCTTGTCGATTTATTAATCCGCCGTCTAACTGTTACAATTGAAGGTACATCCATTGCTCCATGCATGTGGCAAATTCTATGCTGCTCTACCAGAAAGTAAAAATGAATATAATCTACAATTTTATAGGGCAACTGAAGTATCGGGTTTTTAAATTAATTTCTCAAAATCAGTAAGGTAACTGTAATAAAAAAATTTTTTTCAAGCGATATTTCGAACTCACAATTTATTTTGATTCTTTTAATTTTGAGTAATAATTGACAAGCAAAACTTTTCAACCACCCCACATAAATTATAAAAATTGATCAAGTATGCATACAACGACTTACGCAATAACAATAAGCAAATATGGAGATTTGCGCTCTTTATTAGTAACACTTGCGAGTGAACGCTAAAACAATCTAAATATGGGCCACATTAAAATATGCATTAAGGGAAGTTTAACTGTATTCACATATAATTTAGCGACATATATATTATCATCGCAAGGGAACCTTATTTGATACTCAGCAAGCTGTCCTTGACTCGTAACAAATTTCACTTCTATGTGATATGCTTTCAATAACTCTAGTATAAATTTTGGTTAAAAGCAAGTTTATATTTGCGGGCTGTGAGGGATAGTATGAATAGATAAGTTGTTCATTCCCAAACGTATTTCGTTCGTTAATAGACATTTGTGCGACAAGGGATTTGTGTTACCACTTGTCATTACCCGGTCACAGCTGTCAAAAGCCCCCGCTAATATTAATCACATTGTGAGGCTTGTCAATATTTGGGTGTTAATCGAAGCCCACTCAGCCCGAGAACAATCACGACACAGCCACATGGATAAAATGAAAGGGCAAGAGTAAACTTCGGGCTTGGGGTCTTAACAGCTCGTCTTTTTTTTTTTGACTGGTAAGTGAAGATAATGAGTTACGAGTGGTATAATTTAACCAATGTCAATGTCAAAAATTTCATCGCTTGTCAAAAGCATTTTTACTTAATCGATTCTTACGGTCTTTCAAATCTGATTTTTCTTTCTTTTATGCTCTAAAGTATAGAACACTTGCCAGTTTGCAACCTACGTAATCACTGCTTAATGTCCTCATATCGAATCAATGTCAAAATCCTAGCACAGTTGCTCCTCCGCGCATCTATTTGCTTTATCATTCTCATTGTTCCTCTCCTGCTTTCTACCCAATTTGTTTCGGTACAGGCTGGGAGGTCTCTAGTGCGGAGGCAATGTTCGACTAATTCGCAGTGTGGAGGATATAAGGTGTGCTATTATGGAACGTGCGCGCAACCATGTTGGACTAATGGAGATTGTGGTGGTGGGCCATGTGTTAATGGGGTCTGTGGAGGCGGAGGGAGTGGGAGTGGGGGGAGTAGTGGAAGCGGTAGTGGAAGTGGAGGAAGTGGGAGTGGAGTTGGCGGAAGTGGAAGTGGAAGTGGAAGTGGAAGTGGAAGCGGTGGGAGTGGGAGTGGAAGTGGAAGTGGAGGCGGAGGGAGTGGGAGTGGGAGTGGGAGTGGAAGTGGAAGCGGAGGGAGTGGAAGTGGGACTAGTGGAAATGGTTCCAACGGCAGTTCATCTGGAGGCAACACTCAATCGCTTAGCGGGAATCCAGATCCCAATTCAGATGATAAAGAGAAGCCCTTTTTTTCGAGACCCATCGGCAAGGCTGTGCTCGCAGTCTCTCTCCTTATCATAGCACTTTTCATACTCATCGCCCTCTTCTGGTGCTATCGGTCCCGTTCCAAACGCAACAACAACAAGAACAACCATAAAACTCGCGGAATCCCTATCTCCATGTCCAAATCTCGCGTTACGCCTGCTCCATCTCAACCATCGATCCTAACCGAGAGTAAATCACCAGAGCCATTCCTCGAACCTGAGATGATGACACCAATATCACCATCATCTGGAAACCAACTTGATAATGCGGGTACCGCATCAGCAGCTGTTACGGCTCAATCCGCTAGACAGCCAAAGAGGTCTTACACCATTTATGGAACCCAAGGGGCTTCAACTTCGAGTGTTGAGTTGAGTGGCACATCAAATACGTATTATCCGATTGGACAGCAGCATCATTTTATGAGTTCTGAGCACGAACCATGGGAATGAGAGATATAGAGGATAAAAATGTGGGTTGATAAAAGAGTGAGAGTGAGAGGAAGAGTGAGTGAACTGTATGGTCAGAATAGCAGTGTCCGAGTTGGGTAGGTCTAAAGGCAGTGATGTTTACGCTTGTACCAATTCAGTATAGTATAAATGAACAAAGTATTGTAAATATTATGTATGAAATAAAAACAACTGTCTGATAGTATGTCAGTTTCGATGAGTCAAGTATATACGCATGCTGACTTGATGTTGACAGAGAAATTCCGTATTTGGGCTCCGTTTTTTTCAAGTCTTGAAATTACAACTACATTCATCAAGTAGAAAAGCCTAAGCAAATAATCAGTTATTAACGATTTCGTTGACAAGTTTCAGTATACTTGATCTTATGGTATATGATCACCCATGCTATACTCTTTTCGGTTGAATATCAAATTTCTTCACCATTCTGTTACTTATCGCCTGTATTTAGAACTTTCGTTGAGACATTCCTAGAATTTCAGTGTAATGTACCGAGTCGAATTGCACCAAGACGCGTCACAGATTTGTATTTTATTTTGACAAGGTTAATTTACGGCTTTTCCACTTCGAACATGGTTAAATTGATCGTATTGAAAGCAAAGATAGTAAGAGTAATTTATTGGAACAGACTAACGCTGAATTGTACGCTTTGCAATTAATAATATAAAGTTTTCTGTCACTAAAGGTTGGATTCTTTCGCGACAAGTTCCTAATAAATGTAATCACAGAATGAGAAGCTTTGAACGCATTATCGTTTTATATATTTCTTTATTGTAACTATACCATTCCATATGTAAACTTGCGTAGCCATTCATGTTTATTTAAATTTTTCTCTAACCATTGCTGAGACGATTAGTGTGGATTATTACATGAAATTAATTCCATTCGAGATAACAGATGAGATAGATGGTTCCTTTTATGACAAGGTAACCTTCAATTATGCATCGGTGAAAAAACTAATATACCAAAAAGACAAATTGTACTAGTACGCGCTAAGATGCCAATTTATAAATACGAAAAGCTATATCAGTTTTCTGATTACCATTATTGAATGTACTTTGGCTGCAATTAAAAATTAATTTATTTGTATTTTGCGAAGAGTTACATCGAATGGTTAAAGTGACAGTTGCCGATAACTTCTAGCGTGGAGCAAGGATGATGTATTATTCTCATTAACAGTATTAGATAGTTAAAGTCCTAGTCTCTCTACCAAGAAAAGCTATTAGAGTCTATCTTATAATAAAATAAGATCTGTCTTATATCATTTCAAACCTTATAACTAAATGTCGGAGCTTCATTAACCGTTTTCTGACCATATTGAGTTTGTATTTCTCAAAAATTTAGTTTATGCGAATAATAACTTCTAACCTGTTTTATTAATATATTTTAATATTATGGAGCAAACAATCGCATTAAAGCAAAGTATAGTAAGACATGAATAATATATAATTCTTAGTTTCCTATCAAACAGATAAACAACAGACAGACCAACTTTAACCAGGTTCATTAAAGAAGAACTACAGTAAAACCTCCATAAATGCAACCCCCCCCGTTTCTGCAATGCAACAGGTTTGCGAGTCCCGTCCTAGTAGATTTATTTCCCTAAGTGCAACTCACGTGA